CCTCTTTAGTTACAATCTCGACTCCTTTTTTTCCTTTTCTCAGATAAGTTTCCTCAAAGAGTGGTCTGCACTTATCATCTCCGCTTCCTTACTTTCACTCCCTCCTCGACGCTCAGCCTGGCTTTCCCTGGGATCAGTTTTATCCAGGCTGCGGTGACCTCTGCACTGACCAAGGAACTGTCTGCTTTCCAGTCCTTGTGCTGCTGGACTTCTCCGTTGCGTCGGGTGCGTTGGCATCGCTCTGTCTTGGCATTCTCTACCCCCCTGGCTTCTGTGGGCCGCTTCCTCCTTGTGCTGCACGTACGCGTCTCCGTCCCTTTGTTGCTCTTCTCTTTCCCTTAAAGACTGCATTTTCTACTGTTGCATCCTTGCCTCTCTACCCTTGTTTCTTTACACAATCCCCTTTGGGAGCTTATTTGTCTGTATATTTTTTTACCACTACAACTATATACTAAAGAGCCCTAAATCCTATCTCCGTCCATAATAGTTCTCTGGAGCTTTGCCTTCAGATATCAAGCTTTGCACAAAACATCTCTACCTGCGTATTTCACAGGTATCTCAGCACAGCGTGACTGGAGCTGGACTCCTCTGTCCTGGGCCTGCCCCTATCCGTCCTGATTTCATATTTCACTATTTGTGATCTCCATTAACAGCATCCACCCAGATACGCAGGCCAAAAACTTGGGACACAACCTAGACTCCTGTCCTCTGCATACGACCAGTCAGCAAGTTTGGCAAAATGTACCTTCTAAATCGTTCTTGGAGCCACTTTCTTTCTTGAAACATAGCTAATGGTATCCTAGGAAAAGCCCTCATCACCTGTGACTGCACTAGTCCCATAATTTCCCAACTAATCTCCCTGTCTCAGCTTTGTGTCCTTGAAATGAATGCTGCAAGCTGCAGCCAGAGTGGTTTCTACAGTTCGCATCTGCCAGCCCAGGCTCATGATCCTGGCCCACAGGCCCACATAGCCTGACCCCTATTTTACCTCTTCCGCCTCCACTCTCACCCTCTGAGCCTTGCAAGTTACACTCTCATTAATCTCAACCTACTGTCACTCATACACCAGACTCTTTCCTGTCTCAAGCTTTGCTCATAC